CCGAATTCCGCTCGAGCCCGAGCGACGAACGATTGCGCCCGCGAGCTCGGCGCGGAGGACGTGCGCCGAGTGAATTTCACCTCGGCCAAAATTACGGTCCCGTCCTCGACGCATATTTTGGCAGCGCTTGCCAAGCTCTAACGCCCGCGCAACATGGCTCGCGCTAGGTCGCTCGAGCTGAGAAACTCGCGAGCCACGTCACCTCGCCGCAAACTGCAAGGCGAGAGGCGCAGGCGCGCGCGCGACCTGCCCCCCTGGACCCGCAAAGGCAAAGCCGCGGGCCTCTAGTCGGCCCGCCGCTGGGGCCGGGAACGGCACGCGCGCGCCGTGAGACCGCGCGTCGCGCGTGCGCCCCGGCGCGCAGACGCCCTCATCACATGGGCCGATGGGCCTGTTTTCCACCACCACCACCATAAGTTGGAGGGGGGGGAAGGTGGAGGCCGAGCAAATCAATCGGAAGCGGGGAAGGGAGGGGTGAAGGGCGGCGGTCCTGCAACGCGCAAGACAGGTGGGGCAGCGAGGCCACACCTTGGAAGCAAAGCTTCGGTCTGGGGGTCGCCCTCTTGCGCGAGGTGTCCAACGCGCTCCAGACACACCGCGGCGGATCCACATCGGCGCCCGCGGCAGTCAGAGGCGCGCTCACCACCAGAACCGCCCCCGAAAACATAATGCGGACGGCCCCCTGGTGGCGTCGAGAGGCCCAGCAGGCTCGCAGAGCGCAAGGTGATGGGGTCAGAGAAGCCAGGGCCTTCGGCGTAACGCGGCACAGTCAGAGAAGCGGCCGCGACCCCTCGAAGCCACAGGGCGGGGTCGGGACCAGCGCCCGCAAGGGCTGCAGATATTAAAGAATCTGTGGACGTATAAAACTCATGATCGCAATTCTTTTTACACTCCCAGACACGGTGACGCAAGGTGTCCTTGCACTCTTGGCAGCGGGGGCGGAGATCACAGGCGTCGTAGCCTGCCTCGATCTTGCGCCCCTGGGGCCGCTGTCCGCCCGAGACCACCGTCAGCGCTGCACCCCGCATGTCCATGGAGCCTTCTTCGCGAGGGCGTTCAATTCAGATTGTGCCAGTAGCAAATCAGCTCCGCACCCCAGGGAATCGCCATGAGGATGAGCAGCAGCGGGTCGCCAAGCAAGACGGGAGCAATCACGCGCGAAGGTGGCGAGCAGCTCGTCAAACTCACCGATGCCTGTATCCTGGAATGACGTGTCGCTGGCAGAAGGGAAAGACCAATCTGCAGCCCCATGCGGGCCATGCCGTCGCCAAAAGACCGCAGTCAGATGCTCCAATCCTGCCTGAATCAGGGTGGCCTGTAGGGTTACACAAGGCCCTCGAATGCCATGCCAAGAAATCTCATCTCCGAGTTTGGCTCGCAACTGTGACCGCACACGCTTGATACGAGGATGAATTTCAGGCTGAGCAGTCCATAGTCTTATCCATTGTGTGATCAGGACTCGTCGCAACTGCACACCAGAACCGTGGTCGCCCAGCGTAGCCTGAAGCACTGTCTGTAAGCATCGTCCTCGCTTGTGCCCAGCAATAGCCGCCGCTGCCTGCTGCCGCAGACTGGGGACAGTCGAGGGCGGCGCTCCCACGACATGATGGCCATTGTGGCTGCGGGGTAAGATCCCGTGCGCCAGAGCGCCTGGGCCACCTTGTGGCTGTCATGAGGCCGTCGAAGCTTGTGAATCTGGCCGGTGCGCAGCTTAGCTTAGCCTTCTTGACGCGGAGCCTGAAGCGCCGTCGCACACGACGTTTGCCTCCAGCAGTGTCCACGCCGAGGTCAACGTCAACGCCAGAGGTCTTGACTGGGATGCCCAGGTCCCTGAGTTTCGTAGTCAACTGTGGTGTCCGAGCTCAACCGTGCTGGTCACCAGGCAAGTCTTATCAGAGACTGTAAGCCTGGCCTCCGCCCGATAGGACGCCAGCGAGGCAGCAGCACTGTACATATCACCAACCATCCTGAGCTGAAAACCCTCGGTCATGCAGACGGTTTCGTCCATGAACGTCCGAAGTCCCGTGCGCGGGGAGGCTTTGTGGGCCTCCTGCAAGATCCCATGAAGAACGTGCGCAGATGGGAAAAACGATGCTAGAGGTGAGGAGGTGGTACACGCAACAATGCAACAAGGGCTGGTCTGCAGAGCTCGTCGGAGTATCGTGGCAAAAGGCAACACCACTGGTCAAGAAAACAAGGAAGTGGACCCCACCCCCTCGAGGTCGAAGGCCCGACCGTGGGCAAAAGCACGGTCGGAGAGAGTACGGTCGGCACGACCAAGGTCGACACGAGGTCGAAGGCCCGACCAAGGCGACACGAGCAAGGTCGGCAAAAGCAAGCACGGCCAAGAGCACGGTCGAGAAGAACAAGGTCGGCAAGAGCAGGGTCGGCACGAGAAAGGTCGGCAAAACCAGGGGCAAGAGCACGGTCGACAGAAGAAAGGTCAGCAAGAGTAAGGTCGGCACGAGCAAGGCAGGCAAGAGCAAGGTCGAGGGCCCGACCAAGGTGGGCAAGAGCAAGGTCGGCACGAACGAGGCCCGCAAGTTCGCGTAAATCTGATCTGGGGGGCCGACGAAGCTCGCCAGTCTGCCGGCAGGGAGGAACATGACACGCCGAATCAAACATGTGGCCGGCGACCCTAGTGCCTTTTGGCAATCTTTTTTCTCCACCCCGCCCCCTTGAGCCGTCTTCCATGCAGGCGGCGCCAATGGGGCCTTAGGCGGAACGGCCGCGAAACATGGACGGCGCCCACGTGCGGGCGGCGCCAATCGGACCTTAGGCGGAGCTCCATAAGGGCAACAAAACGTGTGAGGGGTGTGCCGAAATGGAGGTGGCGCCCGCATACGGCCGGCGCCAGTGGAACCTTAGGTGGGACTTGTATAGCTCCACGAAACGTGAGAAGGGAACGTGCGAGGGGTGTGCAGAAACAGGGGTGGCGCCCACATGTGGGCGGTGTGAGGGATGTGCCGAAACGGGGGTTGCGCCCGCATGCGGCCGGCGCCAGTGGGACCTTAGGTGGGACTTCGTGTAGCTCCACGAAACGTGAGGGGGGAACGTGCGAGGGGTGTGCGGAAACGGGGGTGGCGCCCACATGTGGGCGGCGCCGATGGGACCTTAGGTGGGGCCTATGGCTCCGCGGAACGTGCGAGGGGCGTGCCAAAGCAGGAGCGATGATGATTAGGATGAGGGGGTGATATAAAAATGATGATGATGAGGAGGAGGAGGAGGAGGAGGAAAATGATCATGATAACTGGAGGGATGGGAGGAAGAGGAGGAGGAGGAGGAACGCGGTGCGCTGTCTCTTCGAAACGATGACCAGGCCCACAGGATGGTTGGGAAAAATACAAAACAAGTTGTGCAACACAAGCCATATGGATCACTACAGCAAATTTAAAAAGGAGTTATAAAGGAGGTATACGTTAATGTGTAACAACTATGATACAATCATGACTGTAAGTTGTAAGAAACATAAGAACCATGTTAAATGCACAGACCAGTGCAGGGACCACCCCTTGCGCACCCCCTTTGGTGTCGAGAACGAGCCGCGCCTGCCACGCCTTGCGAGCCTGCAACCCATAGACTTCGCGCTCAGGGACCACCCCCTGCGCACCCGCTCAGGGACCACCCGCTGCGCACACCCTTTGGCGAAGAGAAAGAAGTGCCACGCCTGCAACGCCTGGCGAGCATGCAACGGATCTGATGCGTGCACGAGCGAGGAGGAGGAGGAAAGGTGAGCAGTTGGGATGTCCTTCCCGTGTGCGAGGCTTGTGTGCTGCGTATGTGTGGTGTATGTTTGTTGTATGCATGCTGTGAGTAGGCGTTCTGTATGTGCGCATGCTGTATCTGTGCTGTATGAAGGAGGGCTGAAGAGGGGAAGGTGAGGTGTGAGGGTGCACAAAGTTCGCTGGGATGCTTACCTTGCGTGTCAATGTGTGATGTTCACGGATGAATTATCATGGGTTGCGTTCGTTGTGCAGCAGGAACTTGATCCGCCTCCGAGCAGGCTCCGCAACATCTAACTTGTGTGTATGCACGTGTGCAGGGTGGGAGGGCTCACCGAATAGGTAAGGTGTGGATTCGTCACGGGTGGGACGCGGCTGAGAAGAAAACCAGAACCGCACGAAACCTGTGGGGGCACATCTGTGGGCTGCCCCCCTCTGGCGCGAAGAGTGGGGCCCCGGAGGGCACCCCGAAAAAGTCATGAGCAGCTCCACCTGCCCAGGAGAATGCTCCCCCCCCAAGCCCCCCCCAAAAAACTAGTTGTGAACAGCGCCCCCCCCCCCAAAAAAAACCCCCCCCCGCCCCAATGAACGGCCCCCCCGAGGGTTCCGACAAAAATCTGTGAGCAGCCCCCTCTGGCGCGAGCGCTGGGCCCCCGAGGACCCCCCGCACAAGGTTGTGAGTAGCTCCATCGCCCCGCAGAATGAACTCCCAAAGGTCTCCCCAAAAAGTTGCGAGCACATTTGTGTATACAGTGGACACCACAGACACACCAAACAACAAACTAGCCAACATCGTTTGGAAAGAAAGCAATAGTACCACCACAAGCATGCGTCTATGTCAAAAATGCGTCAAATAGAAACTAGCCTAACACAGGAATTCAAAACAGACACGTTTAACCAACAGTCACAAAATCAACGAAACAGCAAGCACACAACGACAAACACAATAAATAAGCACACGCGCACACGCACACACACACACAAACACACACAGACTCAAACAACACACGCTAGGCTACAAGGTATAATAAAAAAGGGTGGCTACCCCAAAAACAAACAAACGATAACTCTTATGTGCAACCGTAAGCACACCTAAACAATACGCCACAAGCACGAACGAACATGACCGCATAGCACGGACGGTATCTGCTCTCGGAATGCGAGCGCCAAGCAAAACAAACTCGAACAGCGGCCTATGGATTATCCTAACCCAAAGGAGGCGTCTCCGGGATGGCCAAAGGAGGCATACCCAGGAGGCTTCTCCAAGCGGCCGCAGGAGGCCTCTCCAAACAAGCGGCCGCAAGAGGCCTCTCCAAGCGGCCCCAGGAAGCTTTTCCAAACGGTTTCAGGGGGCCTCCCCAGGGAGATATCCCCAGGCGGCCCAGGGAAGCCTCTCCAGGCAATCCCAGGGGGCTTCCCCAGGAACTCATCCCCATGCGGATCAGGGAAGCCTCTCGGGGCGGCCCCAGGGAGGACTCCCCAGCCAGCCCACGGAAGCCTCTCCAGGCGGGCCAAGGCGGTGTGCCCAGGCGGCCCAGGAAACCTCCCCGGGAGGAGGAGGAGGAGGAGGAGGAGGAAGAAGAGGAGGAAGAAGAGGAGGAGGAGGAGGAGGAGGAAGAGGAGGAGGAGGAGGAGGAGGAGGCCCTAGGCGGCCTCCTCAGGCAGCCCCAGGAGCTCTTCCTGGGCGGCCCCAGGGAAACCTCTCCAGGCGACCCCGGGGAGGCCTCCCCGGGCGGCCCCAGGGAGGACTCCCCGGGCGGCACTGGGAAGCCTCCCCGGGCGGCATCCCGGGGCGGCTGCAGGACCAAGATGTGATCTCGTCGCACAACAATCATTTTCCTCCTCCTCATCCACCTCCTCCTCCTAACCAGGAGGAGGCTTGATTTCCACATCTTTTCCCTCGCAGGACGGGCGATGTTTAACCATTTTCGGCCCCTGAGAGCCCTCGTTGGGCCTCGGGACCGTCAAAAGATGACTCGGGAGGAAGAACCGGCCCTGGGGAAAGGGTCGGGATTTCTAAATACAGGGGCGCCGTAGTGAAAACATCGGGACGTCGCATGTCTGGGGAGGCCTCCCCAGGCGGCGTCAGGAGGACCTACAGGAGCCTCCTCGGCAGAAGGCCGGGAGTTTGTTCGGTGGAAGTCCAGAGAGTTGTTCGGTAGATGTCCGGAGGTTTGTTCGGTAGAATATATGAAGGTTTGTTCTGGAGTTCATAGGCTTGATGTACATTCGGTGTTATACTGCCAGCCAGCGAAATATGATCACCCTCCTGGCTCAACTGCCAGCGAAATATCCTCACCGCCACGGCTTGACGCTGCCGGCGAAATACCTTCAACCCCTGACTCAAAACTGCCAGCGAAAAATCCTCACCATTTTCTTCCTTGGTTCCAAAAACTACCAGCGACATATCTTCAACCCACTGGCTCAGAACTGCCAGCGACACATCCTCACCCCCTTGGCTTAAAACTGCCAGCGAAACATCATCGCCCCCCCCCCATCCCCCCCACATCAAGCCCACAACTGCAAACGACATCTCCTCACCCCCTTGCTTAAATTGCCAGCGAAATATCCTCACCGCCCCGGGTTAAAGCTGCCAGCGAGATATCTTCACCCCCTGACTTAAAACTGCCAAGGAGATATCATCGCCCCTTCAGCTTAAACTGCCATTAAAATCTTCTCACCCCCTGACTTTCAACTGCCAGCGACATATCTTCAACACCCTGGCTTGGAACTGCCAACGACATATCCTCATCCCATTGGCTTAAATTGCCAGTGAAATATTCTCAACCCCCTGGCTAAAAGACTGCCAGCGAAATATCCTCACACCCTGGCTTAAACCTGCTACCAAAATATCCTCACCCCTTAGCTTGAAACGGCCAGCAAACGGCGAGATCCGCTGTCCCCCTTGTGGGGCCATCAGGCTGCGCAGACCATGCTTGCGTACACGATTATCAGCAGGTTCGCAGTGCGAGCCGTCAGAATTCGAGCGATGTGATTTTTCAGGTTTGCAGTGCAAGCCGTAACGTATGGTGTTGGCCCTCAGGTGAAGTTCCGACATTGCTTCACGACGGCGCCCAGCCATCCCAACATAGCTCTGGCATCATTCATTCTAAGAGAGAGAGAGAGAGAGAGAGAGAGAGAAAAAAAAAAAACAAAAAAAGAGAGAGAGAGAGAGAGAGAGCCTGCGGCAGAGGGCGAAGCCCGTCCGGATATGAAAGAGTCAAAATCCACCCACGCGTCCTTGACGCTGACAGCTGCGACGTACCTCCGGTACTGGCTCGTGCCGTAAATCACGAATGTCAAGAACGGCAGGGGAACGGTGCAGAGGGCTACGAATCCGACCACCAACATTGGCACGTGCTCACCACCAGGCTCCAGAAAGAGGATGGCTGGGTTACTGACGAGCGAGCTGCCAGCATCATTCGGGTGGTCATAATGCACTAGCGGGACTGTGGCAGAGATAACGATTGATATGAAGAAAATTTGAAAGATCGCACCGATCGCGTTGAGAGCCTCCTTGGTAACATGAGTATCCTTGCTCATGTGCTTCTTTCCCAACAGCGAGATGATCACCCAAGGGACTGACAGCGGTGCCACGCACTGCCTGATTGTGTATTCAACGATGGCTGTCGAGCCGAACGTGCAAGGCAGTCGCAGAAGATCGAAATCAAAACTTAACAGACTAGCAATCCCCAGCATCGAATACAACGGTTCGATCCATTTGACGCTGAGGTTCTTGAACACTGACAGCGTCTGCAGGCCCAGAAACATCTGGCTT